CCAGCTGAAAAGGTTGGGTGCGGGATGTGCGAGAGATGGAGGCCGCCAGCGCCTGAGCCTTAGAAGCTCTGCGCGCCTTGCCAGCGCCATTCACAACAAGCCGTTCTGGCCCAGCTCTTCCAGTCCTGCTCGCTTCTTTTCTGGAAAGTCTGTGCAAATTCATCAGCATGTTCAATGATGCGGAAAGCCCTGTTCTCAAACTCAACATCAGTAAAAGAGAAGACTCCTGCCTGTAAGAAGTCACGTGCTTCTGCGTCCAGACAGCGCAAAAGCCCATGTTGCATTACGATACGCCGATGAAAGCCAAGGGACTGCTGTATAGACTGCGCAAGCCTTCTCACTGGGCTTCGCTCATCATCTTCATCTTCCACCACTCGCTTGTCTTTCCTGTGCCTGCGTACCTCTCTCTCCATCCTGCGTCCAATGCGTCCTTCACCGTCGCAGACGTCCACGGCGATGTGTAGTCAGGCAATCTGAGTCCTGTACCATCAATGCCATATTCTTTCTGCATGCACTTGTCATCTTGATCAAAAAAGTCTCTGACACGCATGATATGTTTAGCCCATCGAGCTGCAGTCATCCATGCTCTCGCCGTGGGCCCATATGTTTGTCGTACGTGCCTGATGTCCCATTTAGCTTCCACGAATTTGGCAACCATGGGCCCAGCTCTGCCAGCGTATCCTCGGCCTTCATCTCCCACTAGATCACGACGTGCTAAGACTTCAGCCTCAATGCCAGATACCACCAGATCCCACCAGATCCCGTGCATGTCGTAGCTCGGTCTCTTCGCTGACTTGGAGCACAATCTTCATGGTGTCCTCCCACTTTGTCGGCGGTCTCGAGCAGCCCACGTGTGGGCCCTTAGGTAGCTGCTTGGGTTCCTGTGGGACCCTCAACCATACTTGCCTATGTCCGTCAATAATCGGTACAGAAACTGGATACTGCACAGGTAGCCCGCCCGCGACATCGACCTCTGGGGGGAAACCTTAGTCGCGAGCCTATCCGAGATAACGAAGTAGTCGTACGTAGTTCCCTCGGAGGCGTTCGTCGTGCAACATGTGATCTGTGTCGGGACCAGGAACAATGCTCTGAGCTGCTGCAACCAGGCCTGCCCATCAAACGTCGTCGACACCATATTCCAACCACCTCCAACTATCCAGCACTGTCCCATGTCGTTGAGTCTCCCTAAGTAAACATACAAGCATATACAGCATGTCCTGATTCTGCTCATCCAGTCCAACAGAATCCTTGAAATACACCGGCGCCGCCACAATACCTGCAGTGATGCCCCAAGAGATCTTCGCCGCAACCATCCTCCCTTCATGTAGAACTGGGCATTGGATCCCTGGCGGCGTAGTAACAGCGACACACGTCGGTGCAAGCACCGCAACTCCAGAAGATATCCCATTCAATTCGGTACGTAGGGCTGGCGCAAATATACCATGATAACCCAGCTGCCGTAATCTTCTCTCTAGCCCAGGTAGTGCTGCTTCATCAGCTTTGTGCTCTTGAACCAAGACAACTGCTGACCTGCAACCTTCCATATACCTGAGCAGAGGCCCCATGTTGTCCACGTTGATGGTGGTGACGACCCCCTTAGCAACCTGAGAGCCTTCCCTGCCGTGAGTTTGACCACTGATTTGTCCTGAGCCTGGCCCAGCAGAAGGTGGCGTTGAGGGAAACTTCGCACACTGGAGTGCGTCTCGACACCGAGACGCCTCCTCGTCCTGTGTCATACGATAGGGAGCTTCAGCTGTGCACGTACTCCCTGCCTTCGTAATAGTGTTCGCCATATTCCGTGATATGTTCACCATGACAGCGACAACCATACATTCAAAACGGTGTAAACACCTGGCGCTGCGAGCCTTGACTCCACTTGAAGAGCCTGTTGGCCGCCTGCCGCAGCTCCGAGATGTTGCCGTAGGACCTCAGTGTCGGCCTCACGCACCGACGGGGCATCAGGGATCGACTCCTCAGGTTCAGGCACATGAGCGCCACCGACATCAGCCCCACGATCAGCAGGGAAAGCAGGCTGTGCAATCCCTCCTGCGTTAGAACCAACCACTGCCACCGATGCACATGTGACCAAGGCGGGCAACTGTCGAGCGATCTCCTCGGCCATTGGCTCAGCTGCTTCACCTGCTCCGAGTTGCTTGAGGATGCGCCCCAGGGCGGAGCAGTCAAGGCCGAGCGCCGTGATAGGATCAGCTTGCGGGGGCACGCGAGCCCTTCCCTCAGAGGGCTGCACCGCCGCCATGGCAAGCTCGAGCTGCCGCAGTCGAAGCTCCTCGTGTTTGGCTTCTCGCTCAGCCAGCTCACGTTGCGAGACCTGCAACGCTGCCTGCAACTCGTTGATATGCTGCACCTGCTTCTCAATCGCCAGCTTGGCCTTGGAGATCTTCTGGGACTCCTGGTAGAGCTGGCGATTTATCTGGAACATCTGTGCAGAAGCGGGCTTGAGAGCATGGACCCGCTGCTGAAGCTCATCTTTCTCGCTACGCAACGCTGACCGTAAAGTGTCCCAATGCTCACCCACTCCTTTCGCCATGTCCAACTGCTTGTCAAGCTCGTGAATCCTTGCTCTGGCCTGGCCTTCACCCATCGTCTTCCCATCATCAACAGCCATATCGGAAGAAACCACAGACTCAGGCGAAGGAACCGACTCTGGAAGTAGGTCCTGCTGCATGCGCTGCTGCATCTCCTGTTCAAGCTTCTTGATCTGCTGTTGTGCATTCCGCAACTTGCAGGCAGAGCCCAAGGAGTATCGTCCTTCTTCTCTCGAGCTCGAAGGGCTGCATCGGAACGCTTCGAAGGTGCAGCAGGGGCCTTGTAACTGTGGAAACATGCTGACTTGGTCCTCTTGCACTGCCAACAATTCTGTCTTCCCGGCTTGTTGAAGAACCTCTCTCCACTGGCTGCCTGGTAGCAGTATCTGCATAGCCAGGAGCGATAACCACTGCCCATGGGGACTGCTGAACCGTGATGGCTGCTCAATATCTCACAGTCCCGCTGATGTCGCAACCTGTGCCTCGCCGCGGCGCGCTGGGGCCGCTAGGCACGATGCCACGCGGGCGAGGGTGAACGCGCGCCCGTGGTGGTGGCGGCCGCCCAGAGGGCTGGGGTCGCGGACTGTCGGGCTGGCCCGAAAGGAGGCGCCTCGGACCACAACGCCTGATGATGATGATGAGGAGGAGGAGGAGGAGGAGGAGGAGGAGGAGGAGGAGGAGGAGGAGGGGGAGCAGAAGCAGGAGGAGGAGGAGGAGGAGGAGGAGGAGGGAGGAGGGAGGAGGAGGGAGGAGGAGGAGGAGGAGGAGGAGGAGGAGGAGGAGGAGGAGGAGGGAGGAGGAGGAGGAGGAGGAGGAGGAGGAGGAGGAGGAGGAGGAGGAGGAGGGCCCCCCCCCCAGCCGGGCACGCCCCTCGCGCGCCTCGTGCCGTGGTGTCCGGGTCGGTCGGGCTCGGCCGCTCGGGGGGGCCGCGCCCCGGGAAAGCTCGGCAAAGCGCGAGGCCTCGCGCCACACTTGGCTGACAGGCTCCCCTCCTCTCCAGCCCTCCCCTCCTCTCCAGCCCTCCCCTCCCTCCCCTCCTCTCCTCTCCAGCCCTCCCCTCCTTCCCCCCCCCTTTCCTCTCCCTCCGCGCCTCTTTTTAGATTCTGTGCACGGGCAGCGCGTGTGGGCTCGCCATCTCGCCTCTCATGGGCTCGGCCCTCCGATGCCGCGGGGCACTGTCGTGCCTCGTCAACCTGGTCATGTTTCTCTGCAATCGATTGGTGAGTGCTTGCATCCATGTCTGCATGTACCGCCCCGCAGGCTTGCTAGTGTTGCCCCATCTTGCCCCGTGGTGTCGTCCCTCCTCTTCTTGCTCCCGCCTCCTGTGCGATAGAAATCTGGGTTGCTGTTCTATCAGCCGCAAGGCCGTATGAGCTGCAAGCTGTTTTGTGTACTGTGCGCTATCCGTACGCCTGTTGTGGTGTGATTCGTGTTTCTATGAATGGTGGTGGGTTGGACCACTTGGGCATGCACGCGCTGCGCCATTGTCTGTCCCTCTCGCGTCGCTCCTGTCCTCCTCCTCCTCCTCCTCCTCCTCCTCCTCATCCTCCTTATCCTCCTCATCCTCCTCCCCTCTCCTTCCTCGTCCCCCTCCTCCGCTGATTTCCCCGCTGCGGCGTGCTAGGAATTCGGGGTGTGTTCCTACGAATTGTCTCACAGTGCTGAGGCTCCCTGATTGCTGCTGTGTGTTGCCTGATGGTGTGAATGATCGGTCGGATCATCAGGCGATGCCCGCACAGCGCTGTAATACATTTGGCAGCGGTGTCGCTGCTTCGCGCTCTGTTTGAACTTGGCCCGTGATGCAAACGGCACGGGCACGAGCCAAAAGGCCAACACCGTATCTTGTGGATGTTAGCGAGAGAAACAAAAAACACCCCTCACACGCTTCGTGGCCCCATAGGGTGCTCCGCCTGTGGCCCCAGCGGCACAGCTCTCACGGCGCACCCGTCCCCTAGGCAGTTCCACCGAATCCCCCAGTGGCAGGGCCCGATGGCGGCACCGCGCCAATTTCGGCACTCCCCTCAAATCTTGGCCTCGTAGGGAGCTCAGCTCACCTCTCAACTGGATCGTGCACCGCAGTGGGTTCAGCTGGTCTCTGCGCGCCTGGTCCGCCGCCCCCCATCCGCACTTTCCCGGGCTCCACCCCTATCGTGGCGCGCTGTGTATGAGTATGAGGAGCGATTCAGATCCCGCGTTGCTGAGCTGCACAGGGTCGGGTTCTTCGCCAGGCACATGTTCACACAGGGGTTCGCACAGGGGTCCGAATGTTCTCCGTCCTTCAATCATTGCGCTCCCGTTGTAGCCGTGGCCACATTTCAGGATCGGCGGCTTGCTTCCGTCGTTCAGATTTGCGCTCTTGCCCAGGCGAGGGCAACTCTTCTGGATCCGACTCCTTCCTCGTCGTTGCCGTCCCGCTTCTTTTCCCTCCGTCGCCTTCCTCTATCCTCCTGCTCCTGCTGCTCTTCCTGTTCCTGCGGCTGCTGCTGCTCCTCCTCCTGCTCCTCCTTCTCGTCCCTCATCGTCCCTCCGTAGCCATTTGGCTCAAGCCGGTGGCCTTACGTATTCTGATTCCGTGCCTTGCACTTTATCTCGGCATCGGCAAGCATAATGTCGTTCACACGCCTTGCCGTCGCGTCCAGCCTCGTCCACGCCAGCACCCTGGCGCTTGAAGTAGGCTCCAAGGAGAAGATCGCCTCTGCGGACCGGCTGGTCGCCCACCAGACGCCGGAGGAGCTGGGCTTCTCCGACACGGGCGACGCTGAAGACGCGCAGAGCTACGCGAAGGCCCAGTTCAGCGAGGAGTTCTGCCTGGACATCGGCGCAAAGGGCTTCCCGATCCCCACGTTCCAGATGCTCCAGGCGGCCAACTGGGACGCGGCGACGTACTTCTCGCAGCTGCAGGGGGCGGGGTACGCCGAGGACGCGCTCCAGATGACCGGCCCGGACGCGGCCCTGCTGAAGAAGGACTGCATGAAGGAGCGCGCTCACGGCAGGGTGAAGCACATCTTTGTGGGCGATTCGCAGATGATGGCCCTCCGCAACGCGTTTAGCCGCCTGAACAAGTGCCCCGAGCTCTGGTGGGGCAACACCACTGCGAATGACATGGACGATCTGGTGAAGTCGGTGCAGAGGAGCACGAACGGTAAGTCGAAGGTGAAGAGCAGGGCACGCTTCCACTCCCGCACCGAGCAGGGCCCCGAGCAGCACCCGCCCACGGGCTGCACGGAGGATGGCATCGGTTCCTTCATCCACTGGGACGGCTGGGCCCGCCACGAGCTGCCCGTGAAGGAGATCAAGACGGAGATGGACGCGGTCGGTGTGGACATTGCAGAGGGGGACACCGTCGTCGTCTGGGTTGGCTCGAACTTCATCCCAGCAAGGCACAGGATGTCGAGCCTGCTCGATGCCATCAACCAGCTCCACGAGATGAAGGTCAAGCTGATCTGGGACTCGCCGACCTTCCAGGACGATGTCATCATGGCTGCCACGACGACCAAGGACGCCGGGCGCGACCCGCGCACTAACGTCCCCATCACCTTCAACACCATCAGCAGGCGCAAGATGAAGGGTGAGATCGGGTCGGGCGAGTATCGCACGGAGAAGAGTCTCTACGTGCAGGGCATCGAGGTCCCCACCACGAAGCGGTGGCAGATCTCCAACCGCTACCGCGGGCTCCAGTGCGATGGAATCCACAGCGACATGCGCGCCAGGGACCCCCTCTTCTACGACCTGCCCTGCCCCATGGGCGAGCAGAAGTACGGCCAGTCCACCTACTGCGCCTGGGTGGAGCCCTTCAAGAGGAGCGAGCTGAGCAGCCTGTGCCCGGTGGCCACCGGACTGGACGACCTGGTGCTGCAGAGCGGACTCTATTCCATGTGCGCCGCCCACGAGGAGCCGTTCTGCTACCAGCACACCGAGCACATCCGCTGAGAGCTGGGGACTCGCCGCGAGGGTCATACACATGGGCCGCGTTCAGACTCGTAACGCTCGCTCATCTCTGCTTTTTCCCCAATGATGCTCGGATTTTCACAGGAAGCCACACGCAAGTGTACTTCTGGTTTGTAGGTTGGGGGGAGGCATGGTATGTGGAGGGGACTGGGTGGGCTGGAAGGGATCCTTGTCCCAGACACGCATTTGGCGTTGCGCCCCGCTGCAGACCTCAGCTCGACAGGTATGCGCCTCAGGGCGGCCGTCTCCTCCTCCTCCTCTTCCTCCTCCTCCTCCTCCTCTTCCTCCTCCTCCTCCTCCTCCTCCTCCTCTTCCTCCTCCCTCATCATCGTGCTCTTCCTCCTGCTCATGCGTTACTACCTCCTTCGCTGGCCCTTCTCGCACCACTGCTGGCCCCTCTCGCACACGGGGGCCGGCCCCGACACCGTAGCTGACGACGTCAAGATCGTGCTTCGCGGCCCGACCGTCGTAGCTGATGGCATCGGGCTCGTGCTTCTCCGTGCCACCATCGCTGCTACGGTAGGTTTGCGTCGTGTCGACCCGCGGCGACCCCAGCGCGGGCGTTCAAGGTTGAACGCCGCCGGCGACCCAGAATCGATCGATGTTGAACGATTGGACGTTGCGGCAGCGGCCGATCGTTCAAGGTTGAACGATCCCTGCGGTGTCAAAAACCAACGCTGGGGTCGGCACGACACGAACCTGCCGTACCGTTGTCTGTCACTGTCGCCCCTTCTCGCACGATGACCCGGCTGCCACTGCCGCCTCTCTCGCCAGATGCCTTCGTTGCCACTGCCGTCTTTTCTCGTACAGCCTCTTGCAGCCACTGCCGCCTCCTCTCGCACAGCCACTGCCCCCCCTTCTCGCACGCAAGGCACCGGCACTGTAGGCAGCCGCTGCCCGCCCCACTGCCGCTGCATTCTCTCACATCCACCCTGCTCCTCTCACGGCGGAGGGGATCGTGGGGCGGGCCTGGCTTGGCTTCACCTCCTTCCGCCATTGCTGCCCCTATCTGAAAGCACCATTGCGGGCCTGCAGCTGGTGCCGTGCATATTGCTGTCATTGCCCCTGCGCTTGGTGCCACTGCGGTGATCGTTTCTCGCGCGCTGTGGTTCTTGTATGTGTCTTCCTACATGTCTGGCGTCCAGCGCTGCGTTCAGAACTGTCACCACCTCCTCCTCCTCCGCCTCCACCAATGCACAAGCCGCCCCCCTGGTTGGGCGTCACACGGTCTCTGTGACAGCCCAGTTGGCAGACAGAACAGAGTGCAGCGCAACGCGCAGAGATGAGTGGGAGGAGCAGGGTGCCAGACATTGCGCGAGCGCACCTCCCCTCCCCTCCCCTCTCCCCTCTCCCTCCTCTCGTGATTCTCCTCTCCCCTCCCCTCCCCTCCGCTCCTCTTCTCTCCTCCCCTCCCCGTCGTTCTCGCCGCTCCGCTTCCCCTCCGCGCGCGTCGCAGGTTTTGGCCCGTGGCCCGAAAGCCCTCTGCAGCCGCGACCCCTCCGCGAGGACTGCGCACCGCCTGCACGGCCGCGGCCACCCCCCGCCCTGGAGATGGCGCCCCAGCCGGGGACGATCCGCTACAAGAGCACGCGCGGCGGGGCCAGCGACCTCACCTTCGAGCAGGCGCACGGGGAGGGAGGCACGGGAGGGCCGAGCGAGGAAGAGGAGGAGTCAAGGGAGGAGCAGCCACCCGGACCGGACAACTGGCCTTTCCTACACGGCCCTGGGCGTTTGCTGAAGGCCTTGCCCTGTTCGATTCCTACGATGGGTGCGTTTACTGAACGGCCTCGCTTGTCGGGGTGGTTCTTATGGGGGTGGATTTTCCAGGGGCGCCCTCGAGGGTGCGAAGTTGTTCGCGCTTCGCGCTTCGCGGTTCGGCTCCCATTCCTCCTCGTCCTCCTCTTCTCCCCTGGCAGGCGGCGCGAGAGCGCGAAGTTATTCGAACTTCGCGCAGCGCGAAGCGCGAAGTTGGGAGCCCTTGATTGGAGAGGCCTGACGGCCAGTGCCGCCGACCCTGATCGAAAGGGCTAGGAGTGGGGGGAGGAAGCGGAGGAGGAGGAGGAGGAGGAGGAGAAGGAGGAGGAGCAGGAGGAGGAGGAGGAGGAGAAGGAGGAGGAGCAGGAGGAGGAGGATGAGGAGGAGGAGGAGGAGGAGAAGGAGGAGGAGGAGGAGAGGAGGAGGAGCCAGCGTGCCGAGCAGAGCAGGGCGACGGGTTTTTGACGGTCCTCGTCGTCCAGGGGGACCCCCGCCCGGCCACCGGGCCTGCAGAGCGGTGTTGCTCATCACGGAGCGCACTCCGCTGACCTCGCAGAGTGCCTGCTCGCAAGCGTTCGACAAAACATGGGCTTGCCTCCACGCATGGTATCGTGCAGAGGAGGGAGAGGTACCCATACTGCTACCTTTTCCTCGTTTTCCCCTTTTTGGGCCTCCTGGGAGGCCCTCGTCGCCACCGTCGGGTTCGCCTCGACATTCTCGTCAGAACGCACCCCGGGAGAGGTCCGGGGAGTAGCGGTATCGGTACCTTTTGAGTTCTCCAATCGTAGATCCCCCGCGGCATATCCTGGCCGTTTGCGATCAGTTACTCCGCGCGCAGCGGAACGCGCCTGTCTGGTTCGAGTCCGCGGGCACAGCTGGGCACAAGCGGGCACGAGGCCGGTGCAGGTGCCCGTCCAAGGCAACGGGCGGGGCGTGCCGTGAACAAGTTGGGGCAGGACGGGGCGCGGGAGGGCAGGAGGGGCGGAGAAGGAAGAGCCGCTCAGAGCGTGCAGTGCATCACGGGCGTGCCGAAGATGAGCAGCGAGCGCAAGGCATGCACGGTGATGTGGTCCATGGGGCCTGGAGGCGGGGGCGGGGCGGGGGGCACCCAGGTACGCGAAGCAATCGGGTAAAACCTCCGCACGTGACGGCGAAAGACCAGGTGAAGACCAGAGCCAGAGGCGAAACGTCGTACCACCGTGGCGTGGGCATCGACGACAAGGGTCCGCAGAAGGTGGTGCTGTGAAACAGGCACGAGGGCTGCGAAACCAAATCGGAGCGGGGCCCAGGGAACGACCGTGCAGGACCTGACCGATGAGGTGAGCAGGCGCAGGCGCCGAGGGAGCACAGAACAGTGCGGAAGAAGGCGGTGGACAAGATGAACACGACAGCCCATGTGATCAGGGGGTCTTTGGCACACGAGCGCCGAGGATGATCCGCAACTGAGTACCAGGGCGGCGAGAAGCCGGACCAGCGTGGGAGTGGGACGTGAATCGCACGAACGTCACAACCAAAGGTCACAGCGGCCCACCTCCAAGCAGCCGCCGCTCTGAGCATAGACCAGATGAGTAAGGGCCCCCGGGACGCGGCCAGGGGAGGGGCGACCAGCAACACAGCCACCAGGGCGGCGAACAGCCAGAGCAGCGTCGGAAAAGGGGACGCGAAGCGCGCGAGCGACACAGCCCCAGGTCCGCGAGAGCCGCACGGAGAAGCCCAGGCATGCAAGAGGCAGCACGGCGTGGGCCGTGGCGGCGTGTTCAGAGCGGCCCAGGTACCCATCGGTCGTTGAAAGTAGTTTTTTTTTGATTCCCAGATTCCAATCTGCTTTCAGCGCCTCCCTACCTCAAGAGTCGAGTGGTTTCCCCTCTTCCTTCCTCTTTAGGAGGCGGGCGGAAACCCAATGTATTTCCAACGCCTTCCTACTTCATGCTTCTGCCTACTTCTTCCGACCGATGGGCACCAGATCCGGGCGCGGTGTTGCTCATCACGGAGCGCACTCCGCTGACCTCGCAGAGTGCCTGCTCGCAAGCGTTCGACAAAACATGGGCTTGCCTCCACGCATGGTATCGTGCAGAGGAGGGAGAGGTACCCATACTGCTACCTTTTCCTCGTTTTCCCCTTTTTGGGCCTCCTGGGAGGCCCTCGTCGCCACCGTCGGGTTCGCCTCGACATTCTCGTCAGAACGCACCCCGGGAGAGGTCCGGGGAGTAGCGGTATCGGTACCTTTTGAGTTCTCCAATCGTAGATCCCCCGCGGCATATCCCGGCCGTTTGCGATCAATTACTCCGCGCGCAGCGGAACGCGCCTGTCTGGTTCGAGTCCGCGGGCACAGCTGGGCACAAGCGGGCACGAGGCCGGTGCAGGTGCCCGTCCAAGGCAACGGGCGGGGCGTGCCGTGAACAAGTTGGGGCAGGACGGGGCGCGGGAGGGCAGGAGGGGCGGAGAAGGAAGAGCCGCTCAGAGCGTGCAGTGCATCACGGGCGTGCCGAAGATGAGCAGCGAGCGCAAGGCATGCACGGTGATGTGGTCCATGGGGCCTGGAGGCGGGGGCGGGGCGGGGGGCACCCAGGTACGCGAAGCAATCGGGTAAAACCTCCGCACGTGACGGCGAAAGACCAGGTGAAGACCAGAGCCAGAGGCGAAACGTCGTACCACCGTGGCGTGGGCATCGACGACAAGGGTCCGCAGAAGGTGGTGCTGTGAAACAGGCACGAGGGCTGCGAAACCAAATCGGAGCGGGGCCCAGGGAACGACCGTGCAGGACCTGACCGATGAGGTGAGCAGGCGCAGGCGCCGAGGGAGCACAGAACAGTGCGGAAGAAGGCGGTGGACAAGATGAACACGACAGCCCATGTGATCAGGGGGTCTTTGGCACACGAGCGCCGAGGATGATCCGCAACTGAGTACCAGGGCGGCGAGAAGCCGGACCAGCGTGGGAGTGGGACGTGAATCGCGCGAACGTCACAACCAAAGGTCACAGCGGCCCACCTCCAAGCAGCCGCCGCTCTGAGCATAGACCAGATGAGTAAGGGCCCCCGGGACGCGGCCAGGGGAGGGGCGACCAGCAACACAGCCACCAGGGCGGCGAACAGCCAGAGCAGCGTCGGAAAAGGGGACGCGAAGCGCGCGAGCGACACAGCCCCAGGTCCGCGAGAGCCGCACGGAGAAGCCCAGGCATGCAAGAGGCAGCACGGCGTGGGCCGTGGCGGCGTGTTCAGAGCGGCCCAGGTACCCATCGGTCGTTGAAAGTAGTTTTTTTTTTGATTCCCAGATTCCAATCTGCTTTCAGCGCCTCCCTACCTCAAGAGTCGAGTGGTTTCCCCTCTTCCTTCCTCTTTAGGAGGCGGGCGGAAACCCAATGTATTTCCAACGCCTTCCTACTTCATGCTTCTGCCTACTTCTTCCGACCGATGGGCACCAGATCCGGGCGCGGTGTTGCTCATCACGGAGCGCACTCCGCTGACCTCGCAGAGTGCCTGCTCGCAAGCGTTCGACAAAACATGGGCTTGCCTCCACGCATGGTATCGTGCAGAGGAGGGAGAGGTACCCATACTGCTACCTTTTCCTCGTTTTCCCCTTTTTGGGCCTCCTGGGAGGCCCTCGTCGCCACCGTCGGGTTCGCCTCGACATTCTCGTCAGAACGCACCCCGGGAGAGGTCCGGGGAGTAGCGGTATCGGTACCTTTTGAGTTCTCCAATCGTAGATCCCCCGCGGCATATCCTGGCCGTTTGCGATCAGTTACTCCGCGCGCAGCGGAACGCGCCTGTCTGGTTCGAGTCCGCGGGCACAGCTGGGCACAAGCGGGCACGAGGCCGGTGCAGGTGCCCGTCCAAGGCAACGGGCGGGGCGTGCCGTGAACAAGTTGGGGCAGGACGGGGCGCGGGAGGGCAGGAGGGGCGGAGAAGGAAGAGCCGCTCAGAGCGTGCAGTGCATCACGGGCGTGCCGAAGATGAGCAGCGAGCGCAAGGCATGCACGGTGATGTGGTCCATGGGGCCTGGAGGCGGGGGCGGGGCGGGGGGCACCCAGGTACGCGAAGCAATCGGGTAAAACCTCCGCACGTGACGGCGAAAGACCAGGTGAAGACCAGAGCCAGTGGCGAAACGTCGTACCACCGTGGCGTGGGCATCGACGACAAGGGTCCGCAGAAGGTGGTGCTGTGAAACAGGCACGAGGGCTGCGAAACCAAATCGGAGCGGGGCCCAGGGAACGACCGTGCAGGACCTGACCGATGAGGTGAGCAGGCGCAGGCGCCGAGGGAGCACAGAACAGTGCGGAAGAAGGCGGTGGACAAGATGAACACGACAGCCCATGTGATCAGGGGGTCTTTGGCACACGAGCGCCGAGGATGATCCGCAACTGAGTACCAGGGCGGCGAGAAGCCGGACCAGCGTGGGAGTGGGACGTGAATCGCACGAACGTCACAACCAAAGGTCACAGCGGCCCACCTCCAAGCAGCCGCCGCTCTGAGCATAGACCAGATGAGTAAGGGAACCACCCGGGACGCTCTGAGCATAGACCAGATGAGTAAGGGCCCCCGGGACGCGGCCAGGGGAGGGGCGACCAGCAACACAGCCACCAGGGCGGCGAACAGCCAGAGCAGCGTCGGAAAAGGGGACGCGAAGCGCTCGAGCGACACAGCCCCAGGTCCGCGAGAACCGCACGGAGAAGCCCAGGCATGCAAGAGGCAGCACGGCGTGGGCCGTGGCGGCGTGTTCAGAGCGGCCCAGGTACCCATCGGTCGTTGAAAGTAGTTTTTTTTTGATTCCCAGATTCCAATCTGCTTTCAGCGCCTCCCTACCTCAAGAGTCGAGTGGTTTCCCCTCTTCCTTCCTCTTTAGGAGGCGGGCGGAAACCCAATGTATTTCCA